GCACCAAGGAGGTCCAGGATGAGGACAATGGGACTTTGCTTCTCAGCTAGGCTCCTGGTCAGGCTTGTGGCCAGCAGCTTGGCATGGTGCCAGTGCCCAGCTCTCCCAGGCAGAGCCCTGATGCCTGAAGCTTCGCTCTGCATTTAGAAATTGTCTCTGATCAACCCCTTTTCCTCCCACTCCATAAAGGCAGATGCTGTTTGCTCTGCAGGGACTTGGCCCTGTGCTCCAGCTATTTTTTTCTGGCTGCTTGGCCTCCTATTTCCTAATGACGAAGCAATCAGTTTTCGGATGGGAGATTCCTCTTGAGAAGGTTTGTTGTTACTCAAGGAAGATCATGAAATCCATCCTTAATGAAAGGACAGGAGAAAACCCTTCCACCAAGTTATGCTGAAGCCTGAGATTATCATTTTTATGGGCTTCCAATCTTTCCTGCCTCATGTCTTATCAGCAAATGCAGCTGGAGGCTTCAAAAACCCTCCCAGCTTGCTGCTGATTTTATGGGATGAAGATTAGAGATGATCGGATAGTAAATTATTCATTCCATTCGATATCGCTGGGCAGGAGGGAATATCCAGAGCAAAGTCAGCTCCCTTCTTCCTTTCTGAGCATCACGTACTGGGATCCTGGCTGTCTGCCACTCCAGCAACGCAGCAGCACTTTCCCTTGCGCTTAGAGATAGTTCAGGGGGCAATATGCCCTCGGAACAGACGGGAGAGCCGAGAGGGAATCACAGATGCAGGGTCATCCCCCAGCAATCAGGCAGATTGGAGGCAGGTGGATTTTCTTCTTGTTCAGGGATTTCCAGTTTGATTCCTTGCAGCCCAGGGCAAGGTGGGGCAGATCAGGTAGGCATTTCCTCAACCTAATTTCTCAAGGTCGGAGGACCTGAGGCTGATGTGAATGTGCTGTCAGAGCCCTGGCAGCTGCTGACCCCAAGGATGGAGGAGTAGGGAGCTCAGAGAGGACAAATCCTGGCAACTGTGGGAAAACAGGCAGCCGGAGAGAGGAGAGAGCCTAGTGCTGCCTAGTGCTGCCTCGAGTTGTACAGAGCAGCACGTTGCCCGTCAGGCCCCAGCATAGACGGCGGTTGGTGGGAACTCTGCCCAGAGATCTGTGACAAAAACCAACCGGTGGAAAATCCGGTGGAAAAATCCAGGGGGTCCCATGAAATATGCATGGGCCATGGTGATGCTACTGAGCAGATCTCAAGGGAAAATGAAGGGAGAATCTCAGCCCTATCTGGTGCCCAGTGCTGGTGCCACATCTGGGCCTCATCTCAGTTACTGGGTACCAGCTCCCAGCTTGGATGCAGGAGCGGTCCTGGCTGACTCCGCTGGAGCATCCAGGCTGCTTGGGAGAAGAAGGGGAAAACCCACATCCTCTCCAAACGAGGGTCCAGGAGGGATCACGGCCACCACTGTGCCATCCCCTTCTACCTGCTGCTTATTCAAGGTTTGTGATTAGCATCAGCCCTGAGAGACTCATGAATAGTCTAATAAAATGTCTAACAAAATGCCAAGAGGTGTCTTTTTCTTGGCCCTGCGTGTGTGTGCAGGAGGGGAGCAAACAGCCCAGCTGAACCCATGGCTGGTGGGGCAGGACGGGGCCGGCATGATGCTGTGCCCCATTGCCACACCACTGACACCAGGGCTTTTATCAGCACATAAATAAGAAAATACATTGCTCTTCGAAGGCATTTTTAAAGAGGGGAAGGGAAGGCAGAGCTGTGATGGGCAAAAAGCCTTTTTCTGCTGCCATTTATCCACACTGGCATGCTGGGCTAAGAAAATGCCCTTTCTATAGTGGTGGTAGCTCCTGGCTCTCCCCTGGCAGCATCCATCCCAGGCTGGATTTGAAAGCCAATGTCCACGGGAAATGAGAGAATTCTGGGGCAGGCGAGGAATATTTGGTTTTGATGGCAAACGTCAAAAGAAACAAGCAATTTAAAAATAGGTTTGGGGGTTGGTTTTTTTTGTTTTGTTTTGTTTTCTTTTTGGAGCAGCTATTGAAATGCAACAAATTAATATTTTTTTTCTCTATGAAAAATACAATCTGTTCTTTAGAGGATGTTCAGGCTTGCTCTCATCTATTTCCTTTATTTTTATGGCTTTGGCTGAGAGAGCGGGAGGAGATGGAGAGGATGATGGAGGAAGGAAGGAGGGAGGAAGGAAGGAAGTGAAGGAGAAAGAAAAATAACTTTTATAAAAACACAGAGCCCCACAACATTTTTTGAAGAGGAATTGGCATCTGTGCTCTGAGCCAGATCACCCAGGAACACGTTTTAGGCTCAGGAAGGTGCTTTGAGCAAATGTTAATTTTGGTTAAAAGAAACATTTTTTCTTGGGGAAAAAAAAGCGCCAATTTTTGGAAGATATCAGCATAAATCCTGAAATTCCAAGACCTGCTTTGTGTGACCTGTTGTATTGTTCACATACATCACTGGGAGAGAGCTGAGCTGCGTGTGTCTTTATCTAAAGGCTGCCAAGATGATTTGCTCCTTCTGTGCCTCAGTTTCCCTTACCTGTAAAATGGACCTGTAGGGCTTTGACTCATCACGACTGTGTGATGCTGAAGGCTTAAATGGGGGAGACAGCAAGACTTCGAGCGTGCTACAGCAGGAACGTGCAGCTTCTCATCTCCGCAGGTCTCAAGCCATGGCCAAAATAACAAAAAGATGAGCCGGATGGCAAATTATTTGCTGAAATTTCAGTCTTTGCTCCTGCAGCGAGCCTGTTCCCATCGCAATGACTTGCTATTTCTCATCCCCCCAAGGCTGGACCCAGTGATATGTAGCCGAGCAGGTGCCATGGGAATTTTCAGCCACAAACGTGCACATACTTTCCTAATAGCTGCCGTGGGCTAAAGAAGATGCACTGGAGCTCAGGGCAGCTTTGAGATAAGCAAACAAGCAATTCCCTGGCCTCATCAGCAAGCCCAGAACAATTAAATTTCTTTAAATTTCTTATAAATGTAGGAATGTGCACTAGTAAAGTGTTATTAGCTACTCAGGAAGGAGCCGACAGCAAGACCCCTGTCTGGAAGGCACAGCAGCCCTGCCTTCATCTCAGGATCTGGTCTGTCACCACCCCGCAGCACATGAGATACGGGTGGATACTTGAGACATCCCTATCCTTGGAAAATCAGCCCAGAGTCACTGGAGCTGGGTTGGGCAGGGCCCTGGTGTGAGAAGACAACCTGGAGTACCTATGGAGGGGGACCAGAAGGAACAAGGAACAGGGTGAGCAACCTGTTGCAGCCTCCAGCGTGCCTGGGGGGTGGAGAGCAATAGCAGGGAGATGTCTCAGACCTTGAATTTTCCAAGGAAAGCAGCAGGACTGGCTTCTCTAGGACTTCTGATCTGCTGATAAAGCCTTCTGCTCTAAAGAGAGAGGTTTTTTGCTGGGCTTTGGCTAAGAAACAGGCGACAAGCAGGCAGCAAAGATCACAAGCTCTGCGTGCTTTCCCAGGTAGACAATGTGGAAGCAAGTCATGGAGAACCCAAAGTTCATTCTCATTTTTATTTCTTTGCAAGCCATTCCTTTTTCTCTATAACAGGATTAGATTGCTTTTACAGAGTCCTATTATGGGCAGGTCCCTGTCGTGCCACTTCCTTGCCAGGTGCAGTGGAGGAGTCCCCACCCCAAGGAGCTCGTAAACAAAAATTAGCAAGGCGGGAATGGGATTATCCCATGTTTCAGGTGGGGATTTGGCCATGGAAAGAAATTTAGGAGAGAGCTGGGAAGCGGTCTTCAGTCTTGTACAGCTGAAGCCAGCTCCGGCTTGTTTTCAGGATAAATGACTTTATTCTAGATCCAGGGGAAAGAGGAGGGATGAAGGAGGGCAATCCTGCACTGGTGGGTATGTATTCCTGACAGTGCTGCACGTTCCTGCGTGTGGATCCCCTGTGGGTGCCCTCATGGGGACCTGGCACCCAGGCAGGGGGAACACCAGACCCAGAGGCCAGGAGCTCGGATGCTGCCTAAGGGGATGCTCAGTGGTCCTGCGGGGATGCTATGACACACCACGAGATGAAACCACTGGCTCAGGATTTTAAGATTTCCTTGGCTGGAAGCCAAATAGCTTTTATTCTTCCCATGGGGTGAGTTTGTCAGCCACCCAGAGCTGGTACGGGCTGGGAAGCTGCTGAATTCGGACCTGCAACCTTCCCTGTCCCACAGTACCTGTGCAGCTGGTGTGCAGGGCCAGCCTTGCTGTCTGCTGCAGGTACTCAGGAGTCCCTAGCTCTTCTGTCGTCAAAGAAATTTTGGAAGTGGCCCTGAAGACCCAATGAGATGAGCTCTGTGTTTACTCTGCTTAACAGTCTCTTTCTTAAACACAGTGTGGGAGGTGGTGCTCAGAATCCAGCCTGTTTTATCAGATGGATGTTTTTAAGCCACGAATGTGTTTTGCTGGGTTGTTAATGGCACTTGTTGAAAAGAAAAGAGCAAGAAAGTGAGTGGGGGCCGTGCCAGGCAGCTCCCTGCACCCCCAGGACCCAGAGTCCCATGGGGTGGGAGGGATATCAGAGCTGGGGCATTGCTGGACCCCCCTGGCTGTCCTGCTGCGGGAAGGGGGACTTGGGGGACACCCAGCTCCTCTTCAGCCGTGTTCCCCAAGCGCCGCGGCCAAGCCGGGAAAGAAATTTACCCATCCGGGCATTATTTCTTCCTCCTGGGTCGATGCAAATATTTTGTGGCCGAGTCCCCTTCCACGCCCTAAGGGGACTGTCAGGTTCAAATCACCGTGCCCCAAATTCCCCGCCGGCGTCTGCGGAAGAGAGAAAGCAAGCAAGCAAGAGGCACCTCCTTCCATCCCTTCCCTCAGCAGGATTTGAATAACCAGGTGTGAGCATCAGCCTCCCTCGTTAATGCGTTTGATAATTGACCAAGCGCTCGTTCCTGTGGGAGGGCGGCGTGCCCAAGCACAGCGTCCTGCGAGGAGGGGCTGTGTTCGGCTGTTCCTCCGCAGTCCAAGAGCCCGTGGCCCTACCTGCTGCCATGCCTGCCCACCGCCTCCTTCTCCTGCTCCTGGGGCTGCTCCTGGTGCTGGAGCCTGCCTGCTGCCAGCAAGGTGAGTGCAGGCAGCTGCCTGACCTCCTGGGGAAACTGAGGCAAGGGGTAGGAAGGTGCACTGAGCCTCGGGTGGGTGGGAGCTGCTTGGTGGGGTGGCTTTAGGGACAAGGGACAACTGTGAAAGGGACTCTTAGAAAGAGAAAAAAAACAGCCCAGGTCCTGCTTGACCTTCAGCTCCAACTTCACATCAGTAGGAGATGGGGATGGGTGGGTGTTCGAGGGGTTGGGGGGTGTTGCCAGAACTGGGACATGGAGACTTTCTACCTATTTTCCTGAAGGCTGAAACTACTGTCTGATGTTTATTTCTCCCGCTTATGTGGAGATAAAGCAGCTTTGATTTATCTCCAGCAAGACCGTGCAACAAGATGAGTAATCTGTTTTCTTAAGGTTCTTTATTTTTTTTTTCTTTCTTCTCGCTCTCATCCCTGGGCAAGCATTGTGCTGGGTTGCTCCCTGAGCTCGCAGGTTTTCCTGTTAATCTGTAATTTTGATCATTGCCGAGGTGAGGGAGCAAATGTTTTTCTCTGCAGATTGCCCTCCCGTTCCCTTCCTGAAGACTTAATAGAGAAACTTCCTACAGCTAGGGCATTAATTTTAAGGAAATTCATGAAAGGACTTGTCTAATGCTAGAAATAATGAGGAGTAATTAAAACTCATCTGATGCTGCCAAAGTCCTGGAAAATTCCCTCCCCCTTTCTCCTTCTGATGCCCCAGCCCTGA